CTAACGGCGGACGATACAAAGGCGGCTCATGTAGACAATACTGTGATAATGGATACGAAAAAGTCCAAGGAGACGATGCACGTGTATGTCAGAAGGATGGCAGGTGGAATGGATCACCACTAACTTGCAAGAGATTTTGGGCAGGTAGAGTTATTACATCAATGATATAAAGCCTATTAATACAGTATTAAAGAATTGTACGTCTTTCGTGCGGGTTCCCTGTGCATTTTAGTTTCGGGCTTCCTTCAGCAAATCCATGCCATATATGGAAACAAACAAATGCCCGATTTTTGAGAAGTGTTTTCGCTATAATATCTGCAAGTTTCAGACGATGTCATGCTTTAAAAGTCGACAAAATCGCCAAAAACCAGTCCTATCATACTTCCAAATAAAGCAAGATTACCATATATGGCTGCTTCTGGGGCAATTCTTTGATATTGATATTAAAACACAAATTCTGGAATAGAATCAAGTTGAACATGACCATGTTAAAAAACAAATACTGGGATAAGAGAAACAAGTTGAACAAATCACTTAGCGTGATCATATTAAAACAAATACCGGGATAGAAACATGGGAAGTATAATATTCAGATRGAATACTAGCTAGWGTTACAAACTGACGTTCAATCCATTTGCAAGTGAATTTTAATTTGAAAAAAGGCAGTATGCGAAMTGTATGTGGATTTACAACTCTTTTCAYGAGYTATGATTTSTATTGTGTTTTGACTTATGAATATTAATGAKTTTTATAATGGTCYCTAATGACSTTTAAYAAAWATTAARCARATTCTGTTAATACTTATGTTTCAGATCCTTGGATTTCTTGCCCCCCATCAATCTCTGCTGATCTCGCACCTGGAAAAAACACAGCTTCAGTCGGTTCCAAGTGGAARCTTCCACAATCRAACTATAAAACTTTCAAAGTTAGTTCTCCTGTTGGAGCTGATGGTCAGTACCAGTTTCCCGCCGGTGACACGAAAGTCGAGTGGACTGTCACTAATCCAGATGGCAAAACGGATAAGTGTTTATACTACGTCAGGATTTATGGTTWGTACTAGCACTTTGCCTTCAAAACCATGTCTTGTTCTGATCAGTTCTGTTCTGATCCGATTTGATGGGGAAAGTGTTAAATAGTAGGTTTTATTAAGGTAAAATCTAAGGTGCATGGTCCACCAGCATCCCTTTCGAGCTTTTGCTCATGTTTGAAAATAAAAATACATCGTAATATAAGCAAACATTTACTCTTTATTATCCCTTTAYACTRTATGAATCGATTCAAGATTCAAGCCGGGAAAAGGGTTAAATAGTAGGCTTTAGGTGCATKGTTCACCAGCATCCTTTTCGAGCTTTTGCTCATGTCTGAAAATAAAAATACATCGTAATATAAGGAAAAAMWTACTCTTTATTATCCCTTTACACTATATGAATCGAGTTAAGGTTCAAGCCGGCTTTTAACCGGTAGATGGAAACGGATTGCGAATGGATATTCTATATATATAAGTCACCTCATTTT